GATTTTCAGTGCAATTTGTCGCCACGATATTCCAGGGGTTTCGAACATGTTTGAAACTTGATGCAATTTTAGCGCGACAAAAATTGCATCGAGTTGCTGTGACAAAAGTCACCTGTGTAGACGGGCCTTTAGGCAGACCCAGCATAAACAGGTGAACAGTGGCAGAATTGGTCCATCTAAGAATAACAGCTGGAAAATCCTGGAACCATTGGCAACCAACGTTTTGTTTCTTGTTTTGTCTCAATATATTGGCACGCGTTCGGGATGTGTGCTAATTCTCGAGTACTATTATAACCTTTATGAGGTCCCTAGCCTGACATAACGACAAAAATATTAAATATCCAGGCTGCTCTAGAATCATTATCACTTACAGTTGGACCAAGCTGACCAGAGACATGTTCTTGCTTTTGTAGTACTTCTCGATCGCCTTAAATTGTGGGATCACTCGTTTGGGATATTTTCCTTCAGCTTTGTAAACAGTTTCTGCATCTTTCGGGTCACTAATATACACGACAGTCTTTCCCATAATTGTCTCCTTGTATATGGGTCCATACTGCTGAAAATACGTCCTTCCGTGCATAATCAAGAACTCTTTCAAAGTGGTGGAGTTCTTGATATAATGAAGAGCTCTGCCGACAAATGGTAGCCCACTTGGACCTGGTATGTCGGCAAACGAACAACAATTGGTATTCCCACCATCACGCATTTTTCGTAATAACTGCAGTAATGTTTGGATAGGATCTAAAATCCAAGCGGCAATAACAATGAGTAGAGCTACGCAGATGAGATRCAAGTCGACTTCCATTGCGTGCGTGAACTGAACTCGAATCACAACTTCAAGAATGCAGCTGATATAGTTGAGCCTGTGGGTTTTCACACCTAGATGTATATAGGCTTTCCTGCCGCCTAGGCTAGGAATGGACCTTATCAGGGTCGTTAATGAGGTGTGTGGGTTCACAATCGAAGAGGTCAATCGGGCGGGTCATGTCATTGTCATCGTGCACCATTATCATGTCGGGTGTATTGGACAACCCTCGGTTGTTGGTATCCAGGAGCACACGCACAACTGTAGGGCTTACAACCCCGGGGTTAAGTCAACAGAAAAACTGATCAAAACCAGAAAGACACATTTTTACCCATGCTGAGCGATTGTTCGACCGCCTAAGTTACACTTGCTCTGTGAAATTTGACCGCGCGTCCAGGATACCGCCTTTAGAAAGAAAAACAGGCAGCCCAAGCTTAATTGAACTGAACATAGGTCACGCAAGTTCAAGTAGCGGTCATGTCAAAATTATAAGACTTTGTATGGAATCGGAATATGACGATCGGAATACTAGAAAGCCTTTTTGCTGTCTGTTCGCTTTTTCTGCTGATTTTTCTTCTTTTTGCAAAATGTCTTTTGAAAGCGAGTTACGATTTGTAGCGCTGGATCAGATCAGGGCGGAAAAAGGCCTGATCAGATTGTGCAAATTAGCCGTTGGTCGATCATCATAATTAATTAATTATTTATTATGCTAATCTTCTTCTTCTTCTGACAGTCTATTTTATATCTTTCGAACTTGAAAATGGTGTCATGACGACTCCGAAACGTGGTTCGTTCTTATCGCTAATTTTTGGTTGCTTGAAAAACATTAGTGTGTTTTTTTTACGAAAAGAGTAATTCCAGATTAACAACAACAACAACAATGCTTTATTTACTCTAGACACTTAATACACATTTGCAAAGAAAATTACACTGAATAACTTACAATAACTAAGGGAAAAGATATGTGCTGAAAGTCGATCCAGGGGGATAAATGAACCTTGCGGTTTCCGAGTTACTCCTCTGCCTTTTACTCGCAAAACAAAACAAGACCAAGGGAATGAAAGAGACAAGTAAGTAAAGTGCAAACAGAGGGTGACAGACCGAACTACATGAACAGTGGATATTCGATTAAGGTTAAGGTTAGTTCAAGTCAACAGTCATTTACTGGGAAAATCAGGGGTTTGCTCATAGAGCAGTTTGATTTCTCGCGGGATCATGACATTTTTGTGACTTCCTTTGACTTGAAAATACGTGCATGCAAACCCAGCTTACAACATTTCTCTGGTACAGTCATTCCAAACCCTTTTCAGGATGAAAATAATTAAATTGAATCTAAAACGCGTTTTTGTTGGATAGTCTTTGTAAAATCCGCCACCAACTCCTCTAATCATATCAGTTACAATTTCCTCAAATGTGATTGGCGTATAAACTGCTGTATTTTGTTCTAGTTAACCTAATTAACCTAATTAACTCAGTGTAATAGGACAGTTGGTTGTAATCGGACACCTGTAATCGGAGAGTTACATGAGCCAATCAGTTAAGTCCTCTCCACTAAATCCACCAATCACAACATTGATTACAATCACTATAGTAACCAATTCGAAATGTTACTTTGTAAAATTGTGGAGTGTTAGTCTCCGGTGACTGTTTAGAAAGAAACTTAACATCCATTTTGCA